CATTTCATGTGCCAACAGGAAACGGAAACGGAAACGGAAACGGAAACGGAAACAAACACACAAACACATATGCACACACACACACACACACACACACACACACACACACACACACACACACACACGCACACGCATACGCACACACACACGCACACACACACACGTATCCCATGTATCTGAATATGATCATGCTTTGCAATGTGTGACCACAGGACAGAATAATAAAGCAGACATATAATATAAACAAGCGGAAAGAAAAATATAAGATGCTTCTACCACATTTTGCTCTGACTAATGGCCATTTGTAATTATGACAAAAGGCATATATTTTCCTTCAAGGTCAAATGATCATTTCACCCATTTTCAAACACGCTAAATGTAGGTACAAACTTTTGTCAATGTTTAAGCACTACAGAGTACAAAGAAATAAAACTGAACAACTTACACTCATGGAAGTATATGGCCTCACTTCCGAAGGGGTAAGCACTCTTAATCCTCTGGAATAGTTAAATTAGACACTGGAATAAGCCTCTGATACATGCACTTCAAGGGAAGTGGTTAACAAGAATAGTTTGCAACATTCACTGACACCCAGTATGAACTATGCTCTCATCCCATAATGCAGTTAACTGATAAATAAAAAATAAATGCAAAACGAGTGCAACTACTTACAGATTCCAAGGATCAACTGAAGTACTCATGGACCTGTAATTCCTCCTAGGATTCGTTCTTGAGCTTAGTGCTGCACTCTCTCGGGCCACAACTTCTTCCAGCACACGCCTCTGGACTTCACGTTCAATCAAGAGAGCCAATCTAAAACAAAGTTGATATGCTCTCTAACAAATATACAGGTGTAACTTACTGTATCTAAATATCTATTCTACCTATAAAACCAAAAGTTAGTAATTAAAAAAAACAAAACACATCAACAATTTCTCCACATTTCTTACCTATCCTCCTGCAGAAGTGAAGAATCCAATGGAAGATCAGTGGGTCTTTCAACATGGTGTCCATTTTCTTTGTCTTCCCTTGCTTCTTCATCTCCTTGCATCTTGTCCTTTGGGGCAGCCATGTCCTTTGTTCCTAATGGCTGGCTGAAGATCTGATCTTCCAGGTTGCAATAATGCTGTTTTAGTGTTTCAAGTTCACGAATCTGGGGATTAAAACCTTTTCTTAAAAATTTCTTCAAGTTGCCTTGAGATATTTTTGTGTAAATAAATGTAAGATATATATAAATAACAATAAATTCAAGGTAATGTCTATAAAAATCTCAATGGTTTATAAATAAAAATGAATAATTACAAAAAAGTACCAGGCACTTTGAGAGAATTAAGTATTAATCTTATTACCATTATTAACCCATTGACACCAGGACTGTGATTTTAATTTATCAAGTTTGTTTATACATAGATGGCTTCACAAGAGCTTAATTGCCTATGAGTTAATTACTAGTCCTACCTATCTCACCAGTTCATTTATTTACTTGATTTATGTAAAGATTTAAAAAAAATTCTTATTGCTATCAGTACTGTTATCAAAACTGCTATAACAATAAAGCTGATAATAATAACAACAGTATCTATATCAACAGTCCCAGAAAAAAAAAAAAAAAAAAAAATTCACAAAATTCAGAGAAATGGGACATCAGGTGAGATCAAGCCTACTTATTACTCCTTGGTGGCATAGCACTTGTGGAGCCATCTTTTCCCAAAACAAAACTATAATGGACATGTAGTACATGTACAGTTGCGGAATTATATTTCAGTATACTTTCTGGGTCCCACTTTTGAACCTCTGGCAACCAGTCGAAGTAAACATAGCATAAATAGTATTTTTGTGAATGATGCTAAAACACTTGGTAGTTTGTAACAAAGAGTGTGATTGGTCGAAAATAAGAAACCAATAAGTGTATTAATGAATATTTTTTGAAACGGTAAACCATTTGATCTTTTGCTTTCTTCAAATAAGTGATAAAGAACAAAGCATGTAATATTAGTTATCATTGACTTTGTAGTTGGATATTCTTCAAATGCGATATCCTGGCATTGTTTGCTTATCCAAATGGGGAGGCGGCATTTCCTACTCCTTACAGCATAAGAACTATCATTTATAGATACATATTTCTTGAAACATAAAAAAGTTTCATGCTTTGAACATTTATGTATGGTAACTAAATTACCTAACACTCTGTAAAATCCCTGAGACCTCTGTAAATACCTTTGATACTTGCACCATCTAGTAGCAGCTAATCGACCTAATGAAGATATTTTTATCTTTATGCCTGAATCAAACACATATTGAATGAATAGAAACCATGCTAAATTAGATTCTTCAATACAGAGCATGAACAAAATCACAATTAGGTTACATTGAATATGTAGATTTGTTATCGATGTGTGTGTGTGTGTGTATCATCTATGGAAATATGAAGTTACGAAAGTGTGTATAATCAGCTATTATTATGCATTGAATCTTGGTGTTTCTTTGAGGAGTTGCATCCACATTCGAAGAGGTGAGCGAGAAAATGCCTGCTTGCTTGTTGCAACTCAAGCAACTATTAGCTGGGTGGTTCCAAGGAGGGTGAATAGCAAAAATCTTTGCAGTTCAGGATGGACGCAAAGAAAGCTGTAATCTGAAATAGGCTGCTACAATGGAGTGACATAGCTCAATGGTAGAGTACTGGCTTTGCAATCGCATGGTCCTGGGTTCGCGTCCGGCTGCCCCTCTCAGTTGACTCAGCTGTGAATGAGCACTGTTAAGTTGAAGTCAGCATGCTAGGGTCAAAGTCGGAGCAGAAAGGAACTGGCCACCCTACTGCATCATCCCGTGGCTTAGTAAGCATGTTTCTCTACAAAACATGTCCCTTACATCCAGATGGATATGGGACCAACTTTGACTTTTGACAATGGGGTGAGGGAAAGTGACTTTTCCAACGATGATATATTCGGAGAGCTGGGCATCTCCTGGACGATGGTGTACAGACAGATAGGGTGGGAAGAGGAGGGCACCCATAACGACCAAAATACACCAGAAATACATGGAAAGCTCCACTGCTGAAGGGAATTAAAGGTGTAAATATTAGCCCTTTTCAATATTTCAGAAATTAATTTATTTCAATTTACTATATAGATATTTGTTTACAGAACTGTGCCCTACACGTCATATTTCATGTTCAGATTCTATATCATTCTTTACATTTCACATATGACAGACAAATTATCTATAAAACAGTGAGGCACGGCCACGTGACCTGCAATATGTGGGGGTGGATCTCCCTACATGATGTTGGCGAAACGGGGAAAATGCCTCTTAGACAAATATATCGAATTGTTAGAAAAAAATCCTGACATCAGTACACTGTTATGCCTTGGCCCTTCCCAGAAACAATGAAGATAACTGCCCTATACACACGTCCAGGGCAGTTACGAAATAGTTCCCTGCCTAACACCACGTGGAAGTCCTTCAATTGCCAAGCGAGGGATGTCCCTCAAACCCGACGAAAAATGTTTGACCGAATGTTGTCAATGTTTGAGAAACGGCTCATGAAACAATTTCCAACTAGCTGATAGAAATCGAGACGTTACATGTGAACACGTCACCTCTGACTCTGGGATTAGACACTGTTTGAATAACAATACATATTTCCTATTATAAGATTACTATTTGTCTTCCCTTTCAACAGTTATTACCATTTTTAGTAAAAAGTATCTCCAAAATTAATAAACATCCCCAAATTAGTCAATTCACTGAAGCCCCCATCATCTATGAAAAAATAAAAATAAATAATTATATACATATGTGTGCGTGTGTGTCTTAGTTATCAACAACATGGCATGGCATTTGTGTGAGAAGGGGTTCAAAATGTATATGAAATATAAAACAAAAGATTTTAACTAAAGCGTTAAAATCTGTATAATTGCAGTTCTTTCATACATAATACATACACACATTGTTGAGGCCTAGTTAACCCAACCCCGTTTTTGCGTTCAGTTAATATTGTAAAATAATTATTATTGTTATTCCGTGCCTAGATCTGATCTCTTAGTTCACAATGAAAATTACATATAAAAACTTTTGTGATAAAAGACAAGAATGTCATTTTTTTCTACACATACACATACACTGTAAACAAGCATGTATTGATAAAAAGAAGGAAAAAAAAAAAAAAAAAAAAAAAAAAAAAAAAAAAAAAAAAAAAAAAAAAACAATAAAGTAAAGAGCAAGATTAACTGACATTAATCCAAATGAATTTTTTTCTTCTTCAAAATATCAGATATACAGCTCCTGTAATGAGAGACTTTTTTTGCTATTCTACCTCTTTGGAACCACCTAGCTTGTAGTTGCTTGAGATGAAACAAGCGAACTTGTATTTTCTCGCTCAACTGATCGAATGTGGATGCGCCTCCTTCTAAAACCGCCAAGACTTACAGAAGAATAACAGAAAAAACTATGATCAGATTTTAGCACAAGATAAAGGACATTCTGAATAACCGAAATGAATTAAACATACTGTTTCATAACTCGTCACTAAGCAGTGACTTTGTATTTCCATGGACGCCACACACACACACACACACACATACACACACACACAAAGATGAAGCATCTATGCATTCTGTAAAGAAGAATCTAATGTAGCATGATTTCTGTTTATTCAAAATAAGTGTTTGGTTCTGGCAAAGAGGATAAAATGGAAGAATGGGGAAATCCCACCTCCACACCATAGGTGTTGCCATTTCGATAAACAAACAATTCGAGGATATCGCATTTGAGGAATATCCAACTACAAAATCAAAGATAGCTAGTATTACATGTTTTGTGATCAATCATTTGAAGAAAACGGAAGATTAAATGGCTTACTTAGTTTCAAAAAATATTCATTAATATACTCATTGCTAATTTTCATTTGACCAATCACACTCTTTGTTACAAATACCTAGGGTTTTAGCCTCATTCACAAAAATACTATTTACGCTATGTTTACTTCGATTGGTTGCCAGATGTACAAAAGTGGGACCCAGAAAGTGTACTGAAATATAATTCCGCAACTGTACCTGGCAGCAATGGTTAAGAGAAAATTCCTCTTAAGCTTATGCAAAGTAAAATGTACTGGAGTTAGTTTTAGGCAACAAGGATGGCCACACAATGAGGATTATTACTACGGTAATTTTGAAATTCTCATTTTAGTAAAAAGCGTGCTTACCTGTTCACTGACACTGGTGTCTTGTTTTTCTGAGCCTTCACGAAGTCTTAACAGCACTTCTGATGCCTTGGCAACTTCAGCTTCAGGAGAAATAAGAGCACTACTTTCACAAACATCTTCAAGGCCTGAGTGCCATACTGCAGACTTCTCATATTCTTTATTTACTACTGCTTTGCCTTCTGTTCCTGAGGATCCTTCATTGTCAATACTCTTTTGATTAACATCCACTTGAGACTGATTTTCTACATTTCCATTTGCACAACCTTTGTTGTTATTATCTAACTGTCTGTTGTTATTGTCAACACAGGAAGGAGGGACATTTTGGTCACTAGAGCAACTATCAGAGGGTGCACTGTATACCTCATAGGAAGACTCATTCCCACTTGCCTTGTATGAGTATGAAGTGAGGGTTTCTTTTTTGTCTTCAGCTTCTGCTTGATTCAATATATCTACAGAGCCTTTCCTGAGACCATGAGAACCTGATACTTTTATTGGTGTTGATGTTGCAGCTCCTCCTACAACTGGTGATCCATGTGGTATGCGCTCACCTTCAACTTGTAGGATAGGAGATGTAAGGAAAGCTGCTAGATTATCTTTGGCTATGGCACTGGTATAATCTGGAGTTCTAGGAATCTCTCCTGCAACTACTCTGATATTCTTAGAGACAAGCTCTTCACCATCACACTTTAGTGTATGTGGTAGATTTCTAGCTGCACTTGCTGAAGGTTCCTCTCCTTTCATTTGTGATAAATCACCACTTACATATTTATCTTTAGGCACTTCAAGAATAGAATCACTCTTCTCATTAACAAAGGCACCATGTCCACCCTGGTTAAGCTCCTTTCTCTCTTTGACACATTCCGTGGGGGGACCATCAAGAGGTAAAGGAGACACAGGTGAGATCAGGTCACGAGGCTCAGGAGAAAGGACAGAGGTAGCAGTGTAGAAGGTGTCTGAGGCTGGTGTTGAATTCACTGAAGTGTTTCCCATCCTTGGATCTTCCTTATCTCCTGGTAGCGGTAATGTCAGGCTGGAGAATCAGTGTTGCATTAGACATCTTTCTACAGACATAAAGTGGAAACAACTACAAACAATATATACTTTTTCAAATGTGGTGTCCTTAAAATAAAGACTGTCAGATGATCAAATTTTGTATATTTAGGCATTTATTAAACTAAAAAACTAATTAATACTGTTCACTCTATGATAAATTTCATATATATATATATATATATATATATATATATATATATATATATATATATATTATATTATATATATATTATATATAATTATATAATATATATATAATATATATATATATATATATATGCATATATTAGTGATAAAAATATATATATAATATAAAAATAAATAAATACTGCCAATCATGGAGGCTGTGTGTGTGCAGACTTGTTTGGGTAGACATTTCACACAAATCTGCTGCCTCAGCTAATCTAGACATCTGTTAAATGGTTCAAAATTCAATACAGAGCAATGTTTAACTAATACAAAGTAATTAAGCTAATTTGGACTAATTATGACAAAGTGAGAATTTCAAGTAGAAGGAATTCACTCAGCAGAGAGGCACATCTGTGAATGTGTGTGGTTGACAGGTGCCTGGCTTAGTTCTCCTGTCCACACATGGCTTACAATCAATCTTTCATTCAGTTAACATGTAAAATGGTGCTTAGTGTAAATGTCATTTGTCGAAGGGAAATTCTTTTTCTTTTCAATTATAAATAAGTTTCCATTTTCACTTTCTTGTCGTACAGTTCCCTACAGCTCCAACTGGTGCACCCCTATGGTGCAAAGACTGTATTTTTTTCTGGTAATACATGCATAGTATCAAGTATTCTGTGAATGGAATTCATTTGTCACAAAGCCTGTGATTGGATCATATTTCGCAAATATCTTCACTGACAACTATAATCAGCCTTCAAAATTATGTTAAAAAATTAGGAAATATTACAAGGTATAGCCAAATGCTAACATTATTGCTTGAAAGATGTGTTCCCCTTAAACAAGACCAATTGGGGATGGTATAACTATAGCACATTCGCAATTGCCAAACACTTAATGTCTAAAGAGGTATATGAATTTTCTTTAAATCTACATGTGCACATGCACGCGTACACACACACACGCGCAGCGACAAACTCTGAGGCTGGAGAATCAGAAACATTGTGATTTTTTCTTCGCATTTTTTTTTTTCTTTTTCTTTTTCCCTCTAAACATATACTTGTCTACACTTAAAAAATACTTTTACTTTACTGTTTCCCACTCCTTAACCTGTAGGTGGCAACAATTGCTGAGTCACAGTTGTCAAATCTATAATTCCCCGTCCACGCCTGTTATAGATATTTGTAAAATTATTTCAACTAATTACAGTCTTTGTTAGAGACAGGCCTCTTGACTCAAAGAATACTCCATACTACACAAGTACTGCCAGATAAAAATTGTCACCTAAAGACTTGTTAGAAGTGTGGGAAACTGTATATACAACACACAAAATTAAAAAGAGGAAATGCACACAAAGAGGGAAATTTTCAACCCCAAATAATGTATATAGATATAAAGATATTCTTTGATCAAGTTGTAAAATAACAAGCAAATACTATACATTGAGAACCAATGGCTCTAAATAGTCCAGGCTTGCATATTGTAAACACTGTAAATTACACAATTTCGTCAATAATTTTTCCATGAGAGAGCCATGCTATTATACTTTCTCTTTTGTTTGCTTCTAAGTAACTCTTTTTACTCAAATTCTCAAATATCAGAATTTTGTACACTCAATGTTTGCTCATCAAAATAAAAACTCTATATACCTTGGTCATACGCGACACATTGTTGACATCCATCTGTTGCTTTTCAGAGTCACTCTCCATCCTGAAGTATGAGGAAGTATGTTTTAAACAATTATACTGGAAACTCAATACTGTAACATGTATTAGTCAAATAAGTGATTTATTCATGCTTATTTACCCCACTAAAATAATTCTTTACCTAACTTAATCTACAGTGACCTTCATATTCTGCATATTCTGAATCTATGCATCTATCTATCTCTGTCCCATGCACACAGTATTCTTTACCCAGAATGATTTTCTCTCAGAGCCAATGGGAATCTACAGTATAGTCTGTGATTATCTCACAAATCCAGTTATAACTTTAATGATGTTTCAAAGCCAGCCTTGATGACCATAAGCAGGGTGTGTGTTATTGCAAATTATCCAAAATAGGAGAATGGGTGGCTGGAGACAAATCCACGTTCAGGACAGTGTCTAAGTAACTGATGCTATGCTACAGAGATAAAAGTATTGGATACAAACTAACCCTGAGAGATTGTCAAATGATCTGACAAGATCGGTGGCAGATCTTGACAAGAAGGACAGGCGGGAGAGATTAAGGTGCGTCTTATTTCCTTCCTTCCTTAGCCTTGCTGCTTCTTGGGGGTCGTTGAAGCGGAACATGTGACTTCCTCCCAACACTACCACACATCCTACAAATGCACAAAATATATTAATAGCATAATATAAAGTACACAAAGAGTCTACAATACACATTTACCATCCTCAAATCTGCACACTATAAGAAATGTTTCAACAAATGATTATGAAATGAATGCAAATAAAAGCACATACATGCACATGCAATGCAAAAAAATAAAGACACAGGCACACAGGCAGATGAACATACCTTGAGTGAGCCTACTGGGTTTATCAACAAACTGCGAGTTGACCCAGCACTGAGCATCTGGCCGGGATTCTAACACCGCTGCTCCCTCATGCAGGTGGATAGTGCAGTGTTCCTCAAGCACCTCTCCTCCCTAGTATTTTGCAAGTCATTTCAATTCTTTTGTTGGATCAAAATCTGATACAATACTAAGAAATCAGAAGTAACATACAAAGCTAAACAAAATTACTAGCAGCCAAAAGTTTATTTCAGAATATTGGGACTTTATCTTCCTAAGATGACATTAGGCATGGGCCATCACACCAATTTAGGGTAGAATAAATATGTATGTTAAGACACACACCCAGACCCAGACCCAGATGCACACACACACACACACACATATTTCACTTAATATATTTTCTTAAACTACTGTATATATTCTTTTAAGTTGAAAATAAACAAAAGGATAAATCAACAAAGAAGTATTTTATATATGGTAGGTCTGTGAGGCAGTCAATAAAGCTAACCATCACATAGTAGTTATTGGGCTTGAAGATCTTTATACAATCAGAGCATTAAAGCTATCAAACCATAAACTATATGACATTTCTATATAATTCAAGTCCAGAAATGTATTCATAAAATAGAGGACCACACTACACAGGACATAATTCAGGCTGGGAGAAGAATTACCATTTGATGCAAGCGACATATTGCAATTTTCAACTTCACTAGAAATGCAATTAAACACAGACTTGGGACGATGATTTCCAAAATTCTGTAACCTTAGAATCAAACGGGATGACCAGATTCATCTGATGTTTATTCCATTTCTTTCATTCCTTCACTGCATCAAATGACTTATCCCTTCTTCCATTAATTAATTAAACCAGTACTATGGCAAAATAGGGAAACTTTTAATACATGTCACTCATTACATTCTTATTTTATGCTTGCAACAGATCTATACTGATGTAAAATTATGAAGTCTGGTTCTCATGAGGGATAGCAATAACCACAGCTTCAAAAACATACAAAAATGGTGATGCATAATTCAAGATATTGCATTGAATACCTCCAGTTTAATATCCTGAGATGGCAGAGATCCTATGGTGGTTGTGCCATCATTAAGGTGATATAATGTAACTCCTGTGGTCAGGAGGTTGTCGTCTATTAGGACCAGATGGGGACGTTCTGAATCAAGGATTACACCTTGTCCTGGGAATGAAAAAATTCTTATAAAGTTCCTGTGTTACAGCAATATGTTATATCATATTATATCAACAAGCAAGATCAAAACTTTCATAGTTCACTTCTAAAAATCTCTATCTTCTGTTTACTCTATCATTTCCTGATTTTATAACTAAGGATTTTTGTATTTCCCAACGATATTATAATTCATCCTAAATACACATCATAAAATATTCATAAATGCACCTACTAATCATAAAATTCCATTACCATTCAACTTTCTCATATCAACTAAATTGTTATAGAACCTAAATATTGGATAATACCATAATACCTAGTGCATTTTCATTGGACAAGAATGAGAACAAAGATCTTTAACAATGTAAAGATATCTAAACAATGTCAAGACATGTTCCTTTTAGCTACTAATATTTCAATAGAAAATATAGATCAGAGTATTACTCACCAGCCTTCCTTAACCCAAGGGTCTTCTGTTCCTGGAGGATTGTGTGTGTTTCACTCCATCGCTCTGTCCACTGGTCTGTGAGTTCCTTTTCTTTGGCTTGCTTCTGACTCAGTGTTGCCAGTATACTGCCCTTCTCACTGCTTTCCTGAATAAACACCACAAAGTTGTATATGATATAAATTTTTCATGAGCCTGAATATACATAATCCTAATTCATTGAAATACAGTACTGGTAAAATGCAGCATTTTAATGAAAAAAGCATAGTTTGAGATTCATCTTTCAGAAATTCTAATGATAATATTTGCAAAAATTAGGAATCTGAAAACACTCTTCCACCTAATGTAGCAATAGAAAATATTTCTAGATACATCTAAATCCCTTTTGTAAGTGAAATCTACCACAGTGGCCTAACAAATGCAAGTAATTTTGATCTAAAATAAAAATCATTGCTCAAAGATCTGAATACATCCAACTGATAACATGCAAGCCCATGCCTTGTCAGGGAACTGATGTTTGAAAAAATTAAGTCAGTCTATGCCTTACCTCTGGCCCAACAACTGCAAACTCATGAATCATGCTCTTAAGCTTCATGATCTCCTCTCGTAATTCTCTGATAAGCTTCACATTTGGATCTTCATTGATGGTTGGCTTGTTGATAATATTCTTCGCACGATTTGCATATCGTAAAGTACTTAATGTCTCCCCATAATTAACATCAGCTGGAGAGATTGCTATAGACACATACAAACATTAGTAAAATACCCTTGTCCTCCTCAACTATCAAGCATTAAACAGAGCACATATATTGAGGATAATTTATTATTTATGCTATAAAACATACTTCAACATTACTGACTTACTTGCAATCATGATGGTTTTTGAATTGCCACCAAGAGAATCCTTCAAAAGCCATGTCAAGACAGAGTCCCTATACGGAATGAAAACTGTCTTTCCTGTAGTAGCTTTTGCAGCTTGTTCAGCCAAAGCACTTATGACGGAGCCTAGTGTGACTAGGGACTTGTTAATATGTGCTCCTTCTTTGAGCCTCTGGCCTGTGGCTCCTGTGGCATCAGCACGTTCACTAATAAATTACAAGATTTTATTAATACTTCAATACTAACATGAAAGAAAAATCTGCAAATGCCAGTCTTGAAAATGAACTATAGTACATAACTTATGAATCTATATCATGGACAAACTTGTAAGTCAAAGCTTAAAAACTCACTCACTCTATTGCCTTACCTGCCTGCTAAATCAACAAGATGGATTTTAGACCGTGTTTCAAGGGGCATGTCTGACAGTAGTTTTGCTTGTATAAATGTTACAGTAAATATGGCATGACTTCTAGAGCTGGTATCATTCATGTGGGTACTTGCAGTAGTTCGGATGGAATTTCCCCTTACCATTAACTCCTGAAATATGAAATGTTGTTATTCTCCTTGACAAGTTGTGACTTTCAATATGTACTTAATAACAGGAAATGATCTGCCTGACCTGGATATCAGAGTACTGATGAACCAAGTGATTGGAGAGGTCTTGGACATAAGGTCCAAGTTTTGGGTGTTCTCTCACACGCAAAGAGTGGGTAGCGTTCTCACTGCCTTGTCGAAGAAGGTCTTTCACTCGTTCATTGTAGATCTCCAGGTAGCTCACCTCTACCCTAAAAGACAAAAAGAAAATTTCCAAACAAAATATAATAGTAAGAAGATTACTGGAGTATGGAAGTATGCTGCTAGTATTACAAAGAGGTACTCACTTGTAAGTAGTTCCGGCTTCCCTGCCTTCAGCCATTTTTGAGAACAGGGCTTCACAGATTCTTGGTATTAAACCTGGATTTGCCTAGGAAGAAATTGTATATGAGTGCAACATTATTGAGAGACTAATTATGTGTCTTGTTAAATACAAAGAAATATAATGAAAAAAGGAAACATACCTCAAACATTTTCACAAATAAACCC